CAAGGAACAAGGCGACGATGAACGGGAAAGTGCCGTGCACTTTCCTGGACGCTTGGCGAACAGGTGTACTAACTCCAGCAACTCAAGACCAACACGCTGTTGTAGATTCAATCTTACGTGCTCCGCTTCCATGGTAGATTTTTCTTGGACCAACGTTCTCCTAGCCAGCAGAGAACAACGGTGACTCGACCACTGAATGATGTAGAATTACGTAGAGAGCTTTGCAAATCGACCTTTCAACGGTTTTATCCATCCCAACTACAGTACAACAATGTAACTAACTTGTCCAAGTCCTTGGAGCGAGCTATTTGAGCATAATTTCTGGAAAGCCGTCTTTGCCCTTTACAAATATTTAATTACACTGTTGCAGACAGTACATGTGCCTCTTCGATCAGTCCGATATGGGGTTCAAAGGTCGTGCACCGTGCTCGTGTTGACGATCATGATTCGTGAACTGTGAAGCAGTCCCCCTGGCCTCGGGAAGAGCAGCAAACATCAGATCAGGTTTAGTTAGAAAACAAAAGTCATCAAAGGCGATTTGTCTGCCATTTGCGGCTTTGGGTCGCTACTTCCACCGATAGCAAACCATGTAGATCTACTGTCCTGAACTACATACATCTCAGTGACTTGTTTGAGTAGATCTACCAGTAAACAATTAGCCAACTTCCAAAAATCGCCGCCGGCCACTGGAACCCCAAATGAGCATGGTTTTCAGAGGTAAGTGATTATTACGAAGTATAACAGGCCAGGATGCAATGACTACATGGTAAAGACGAACAAATACTGTTGCCCTGCAGGCTACGCTGTAGATCGTTGGCTATGGCCCTTACAAGAGCTACAGATTTTGTTTGTTTGAAGTTTTATTTTACATCGCAAACCAAACGGGCATTGATGCCCAATATTATGATGGCGATAGAATGAAAAGTGTGGCTCGATAAAGCTGCACTTGAGAAAATGAGAAAACAGTCCATAGCAGGCAGTCGTAGATCTACTCAAACTAGGGAGGTAACACGGCACAGAAATCTGTGTCACAGGAGTTGACTCGCACCCGTAACCCCTCGTTGTTATTTTTGGAATGGTTCAGTCCAGTCCAGTCCGAAAGGTCATACTCGGATCGACTCGCCTTCTGTACTTCACCTCCAAGCGTGCCACATGGGTGTCTAGTTTTTGAAATTTTTGAGGCAGCACATTTCGTTTACAGCCCACCACTCGCCAGTATTCTTTGAAAGACTACCAGCAATTTGTTAGCTCCTGCCATGTCCGAACTACTTGATAGCAGTGATGGCAACAGCAGCAGTTATGAGACGGCGTGTAGTGTTGCGGTAACTGTTCAGAACTGTTCAGAGTCGTATCCTAGGTTAATCCGAATACTGAAAATTGACCCAAATTGCACATAACACGAAGCTGGTTTTTGAAAAATGTAAGTCGTGTATCTGCCCCATTTCTTCTTTATGACTTGCACAATGGTCCAGTCTGCCTAAATAACACATTTATACCAGGGGTTAAGTGCCATACAAGAGAGCTACATTGTACATCTAGTCATACTGTCATAAACAGCCAGCATTTTTCCTGCAGCAGTCACACCACCATCATCATTATTTCCAGGGAAATCCTCTTACATTGTCAGCTCCTACGTCGTTAGATACAAAGTAGGGGGCTGTCGGACCGGCTCGTCAAAAATAGAGAACCTGAACAAGCGTGCTCGGGACGTCTCAGCAATCGTAGTATGCAAGAGCACACCAATAAAAACTTGATCAATGGCAAAATCGTTCCCCACAGAAAAATCATACTTTGCGGGTCTTGCGTGGCACGCTTGGAGGTGAAGTACAGAAGGCGAGTCGATCCGAGTATGACCTTTCGGACTGGACTGGACTGAACTATTCCAAAAATAACAACGAGGGGTTACGGGTGCGAGTCAACCCCTGTGACACAGATTTCTGTGCCGTGTCACCTCCCTAGTTTGAGTACGACTCCCTGGTCCATAGGAAGTATTTGTACCGGTGATTACAAGTCAAGTTCGAACGAAGTAACAATCAGAGAGAAATAGGAAGATGAGGACCTATGCCAGAGGGAGGTGCTATTCGGCCATATTAACAGTAGAAAAACACTTTCAGCAATCTTTTAAACGGGGTTGGACGACGAGTGGACGTGAGTTCCTGTGGCAGGGTGTTCCAAAGCTTCACGGCGGAAACCAATGGTCGGCTGTTGCCAGATGTTCACCGAGTTAGCGGAACAACATATTTGCAATTGTTATTGCCACGGGTGTAACTGGGAGGTTGGAGGGCTACTCTATCTTTCAGAAGAGGGCTGATGCTGCTGGTGTGGACACAGTGCATAAGGAAACGGAGTTTGCACTTGGCACTTTCAATTACAGGGGTCAGGGAAAGGCGAGTGTATATAGGAGTGGTATGGGACGGAAAGGGCAGATTGGCTACGCAGCGAACACATCGCTTGTCGAGGGCAGTGAGCTGGTGCCGCTGCTGAGCCGTGAGTGCAGGGAAGAACGCGTTTGATCCTTGAAGCATGTCAGGAAGTATAAGGGCAGAATAGAAAAGGAGTGACTGGCGTTCAGATAGCGACGGGCGGATGGTTCTCAGGGTGGTTAGCTTCTGGGAAGTTTTACGTAATATGCTGGAGACCTGCGCGTCCCACCGAAGACAGGAATCGATCTGTAGGCCCAGAAAGCGAGCAGTGGTGGTCTGAGTGAGAGGCGTCCCGTGCTCCTGGGTGCCCAAATCACCTGGTCACCACGCCAGCAGGCGACAAATTTCACACCAAGGTTCAACTCGAGTTCAACTCGAGTGACAGGAGTGCACCCAAAAAAGGTCAAACAGGCTAGTAAGTTATACCCTGCAGGCACGGTGACCAGGTGACTGGTGTACGCAGGAGCACGTGACCGCTTGTTCAACCATGTTCGATTGGGAATAAAGGAGGAACGCTACATCGCAGCCTTTTCGGACCTAAACCAGTCGACTCAGCGTCCAAAAGACTACAACATATGGGCCAATCGCAGTCATCCGTGCTTTTATAAGAACGAAATGGCGCTTTTAGTGACATTTTGCATACAAATCCCCATCTCGTAGGGCGCAGTCACCCAGTTTCGGTGGAAGTGCGCGAGTTCGATTGGGATTCAAGTAGGAAGGGAGCGTCTCAGCTTCCTCGGACCAAGGCCATTCGACTCAGCACCCCGAAGACTACAACTGGTGAAATTTTAATTTTTGCCTTAACTTCCCCTTTAACGTTGAGTTCCAGGGTACTACGGCTTGATGCCTCAATGGCTAAGACCTGTGTCTTGTCAGGGTTTAAAACCATGCCTTTCCCGTGCAAGTAGTCAGCTGAGTTTGACACGGCAACTGATAAGACTTGATTTAGGGTTGCTACGGATCTGCGTGCGCTGTCGAGAAGGATGTGATCCGCAAACGGCTGGGAGTGTGCTGGGCTGGAGACACTATGGACGTCCAGATCGAGTAAAAAGCAAGTTAAAATGAATGTACATGAAGCTCCTTTTCAAGTGGGACGTGGGATATGTGGACATGCGCGCAAGGCAAGGATTGCGCAGGTTCAAATAACCAATGTACATGCTTTCGGAGAAGAATATGGGCTTATAGGGCTGTTACACGCCACGCCGTATGTTTGAGATTAGGCATACGCGGATAATGCCGGCAGAAAAATTGGCAGAATTCGGTACTTTTTCTGGTCAGTTTCATGCATGTTTGGTATGTGGATAAAGAAATGGAGCAGAATTCGAGGAATTGCCCGCCATACAATTTGTATGGTTCTGCCAATTTCACTGCTTTTCGAGCAGAATCTGCCACCTTTTCGAGCATTATCCGCCAATGCCTGTTTGAGAGACTCATCCCCTCTCCTCTGGCTCACTTCAAGTGTGAGGTCCGCATTCGACACTATGATCAGGATGACAGTAGTGACTTTACAATCTTTGCTACAGATGTGTAGGTTCGTTCCAAATTTGCAGGTTTACTACAAAGGTCTATCCCTGCTGGAATTTGCGGAAACATTCTCGAGAACTTGCACAAGAAATTGGGGCAGAAAACAACAACTGGGGCGAAAAGTGCAGAAAGATGCGGAACTTGCCAGGAATTCGCGGAATTATTTACAGAAAATTGTGGATTTGGGCCAAATCAGGAAATTTGTTGCATCGTTAGAATCGTTATTTGCACAGTACAGTAAAACCAGGTTTTAAGGGGAAGTTAAGCCTAAAATGCCACAGCAGAAAGACCAATCCTGCGTGTCACGTCTTGTGCAGTGCCAAACAGAGAGCCCAGAGTCCTGATGCTTCTCCATTGCTCTTGACCACGGTGCACTGTTGTTTCTGAAACTGGTTCAAGGTACATCCTGACCCATTCCGTTTTAGAAACATTGACTTTCAGGTCCCACTTGTCGAAGATGTCCTCTGCAAGTGCCAGAAGCTGACGGAGGTATGTGTGGGACGTTGATATGAAGTCAGCGTCGTCGGCATATGCTGTTTCCGGTGGTATCTGCGCATCTGCAGTCGGGCTTGGTGGTAGTGCTGATCGAAGATCACGTAGTGCAGCTTCGAGCTATACTGTAAACAGTACAGGTGAAAGTCCGTCTCCTTGTGGTATTCCCTTTGTGGTTGGAAATGCAGGTGACTTAGATGATTCTATCTTCACCTCAAGTGTCGTGTTGGCCATGAGGTATCGAATGATGCGTACCTCATCGTCATTAGCAATCTGCTCACTGCGGAGTACTTGCAGAAGCTTCTCTCTGTTCACAGTGTCAAATGCCTTGCTGAAATCAAGGCCGAGGACATGAATTTCTGCACTGAATCTCTCCACAATCGACGAAAGCCACCTCTTGCACCAGACTACATCCGCCGTCGACCTGTTGCGGCGAAAGCCGGACTGCCCGGGTGAAAGGTACTTCTCCACTCCCGGACGGATTCTGTTCAAGATAACGAGAGAAAGGCTTTTCCTGAGTGATGGGAGCAGGATGATCGGACGGAGATTAGCAGTAGGGCCCTAGGGCTTTCCCGGCTTCTGCAACGGGATGAGGGTGCCTTTGCCGACTTCGATGCCTTGGTGTGTTTCAAAAACGTTGTTGAGAATTGATGATATTAGCTTGGCTGTCGCGGGTCTGCTATACTTCAGGAGCTCTGCTGGTAGCTCGTCAGGGCCACATGCACGTCCATTCTTGAGGCGCCTAAAAGAATGCGCGGCCTCATGCTGTGTGATAGGGCAGTCTAGGGGCCTTGGAATGCCTTCAAAAGGCTCAATGACCCTGCAGGTGGCTGGTCCAAGCTGCTGTTGAAAGTGCTTAGCTACTACTTTGGCTTTCCCTTCATTAGTTAGAATTCGCTTGCCATTCATATCCGCGACAGTAACAGCGCCATCACGCTTCGGTTGCAATTGCTTGACTGCTGCAAACATCTGTGCATTGTCCTTGAGGTCTTCAATTCTCTTCACTTGCCCGTCCAGATAGTCTGATGCCAGTTGACGTAACTTCCTCTTTATTTGGTTTTGAATTTTGTTCCGCTCTTGCTGTAGCTTCTTACGCTTAGCAATATCCCGCGTGCTATTGATGTCCATTCGTAGCTTTTTCTGTCGTATGGATAAGGCCTCCACCTCAACAGTTGCGTATGGCAGGCTGGACTTAGGTCTGTACCCAAGGACAGTCGCAGCGACGCCCCGAAGAGCTTTATTCAGAGAATGCATGTTTGAGTTCGGATCCGGTTTACAGCAAAATTTGGTTGTTTCTTTCTCCATTTCCTCTGTGAACTTGCATCTTGCATCTCCACAGGAGAACTTTCCCAAGTTTAATGGCTTGACCGATGCACGACGGCCCTTCGGCTTCCATACACTAGGCAGCAATTTCCGTGAGAATCGGCATATGACAAGGCGATGGTCCGACGATGTCTCAATGCCAGCGTAACTTCTGGCATCCTGTAGCAATGACTTGGTGTTGTGCTTACATAGAACGAAGTCTATTTCATTATAAATTGGGGTTCCACCTGGGCACCTACCCTCCCATGTCGTAAGGTGACGACTGGGGTGCTGAAAGCACGTATTGGCAAGGAGAAATCCGTTCATGTCTGCAAAGTGCACCAGTGCGTCGCCGTTTCTGTTACGCTGTCCTTTCGTATGTCTACCAATACATGCCTCCCCATCTCTGCGTGGTCCGACTTTGGAGTTGAAGTCGCCAAGTACGAACACCAGCGCGCTGTTCCGCAGGTCGTGGATGACGTTTGTAAGCGAGTCGTAGAACTTCTCTAACTCCTCGGGCGCTTTTCCAGTTATAGCTGATGTAGGACCATGAGCATTGACGACGCTGAGCAGCAGCCAGCGATTTCCGGTTCTGTATGGCACATGAAATTGTGCTACAGCGATGTGCTCCGTATCTCGGGCAGACCATGCGCTGTGCAGGGAGCTTGTCAGGGTCGGCCCGACAAGAAACCCCAAGCCGCGAGCAGGCGTGTCTGGTTTGAATAGCTGGTGTTCGTCTATCCTCTCGTTCAGGTTCTCCTGCAACTTCGTTTCCTGCAGCGCGATAATGTCAAGATTGAATTTTTCGACGTCGCGAACAAGCGCTCTCCGCTTCGCGACAGAGGAAAGTCCTCGTGCGTTCAGAGTACCAAACCTCCATTCCTCCTTTCTCATAAATAATAACGTTTCACTCCATTGAAAGACAAATCTATCAATAGGCCATTGCTTCTCGCTCCAAGAGCTCGAAGAACTTCAAGTTGTCAGCTCGAAGTCAGCCTACAATTGGTCTTTCTGCTGTGGCATTTGGTCGAATGAAGACGATCTGGTTTCGGCGGCAACATCTACAAACTAACACCATGGTATGACTCTACAACGCATACGTTCTTCCTATCCTCACGTACAATATGGGCTGCGCAGGCCTCTCTAAGGCACTGGAAGACTCCCTGGATAAGATCCATCGCAAGCAACTTCGGCATATGCTTGGTATCTTCTACCCTCGTGTCGTGTCGAATGATGACCTGTATGAGCTTGCTCATACTGAGCCAATATCCGCTATGGCAAAGCGAGCGAGATGGCGTCTGCTTGGACACATCCTACACCAGCCATCATCGACACCAGGCAATCAAGCAATGATTGCATACGCATCAATGGAGGACGCTGTGAGGCACAGGAGGGGAGGTCCAAGGTCCTGTTTAGTCACCACCCTCCAGCAAGACGTCAAGTTCACCGCCGTCGCATTGAAGACGAGCTGGCACCTCGAAACCCTAAGAAGTTGTGCAGTTGACCGGCAGAAGTGGAGTAACATTTGTTCTGCGGTGGTGTGAACACACATGACCGGCTGTGATTTTGGTGTGGACGCACATGACTAACTGTGATGACCAATGATTTCATTTCATTTATCTTATTTTTATTTTATTTTTATTTTATTTTTTCTAAGAAAGAGCTTTGCTGATGTGGTGTATTGGAACTCATGTGAAATCTACACCGTGATTGTTTTCGTCAAATATCATATCTTCTCTTTTCTCTCTCTGCCGCGGTGCTTTTTGTTACTCCATTGTCGTGAGTTCCCTTTGGAACGTAGACGAGAATTATTATTATTATTATTATTATTAAGCCTAAAATCAAATTTTTCACCAGTTGTAGTCTTTGAGGTGCTGAGTCGAATGGTCTTGGTCCGAGGAAGCTGAGATGCTCCCTTCCTTCTTTTTTCCCAATCGAACTCGCGCACTTCCACCGAAACTGGGTGACTGCACCCTACGAGATGGGGATTTGTATGCAAAATGTCACTAAAAGCTCCATTTCGTTCTTATAAAAGCACGAATGACCGCGATTGGCCCATATGTTGTAGTCTTTTGGACGCTGAGTCGACTGGTTTTGGTCCGAAAAGGCTGCGATGCAGCGTTCCCCCTTTATTTCCAATCGAACATGGTTGAACAAGCGGTCACGTGCTCCTGCGTACATCAGTCACCTGGTCACCGTGCCTGCAGGGTACAACTTACTAGCCTGTTTGACCTTTTTTGGGTGCAGTCCTGTCACTCGAGTTGAACTTGAGATGAACCTTGGTGTGAAAGTTGTCGCCTGCTGGCGCAGTGACCAGGTGATTTGGTCAGTACAGTGTACTTCAATAAGTAGGGCTGAAACAATTATACCGATAACTTGCATATCGACCGTTAAGAGTGCAATCGATAATCGTTAACTTAGTGTTTAAAACGAGGGCTAACGATTTTTTATGCATGCATATCAGTGGGAGTATTCTATCCCTTGCATTCAATCCGATAGTGAATACGAGTGCAATCATGTACTTTCAAGCGCAGTGAAATTGATTTGCGGCTTTGAAAGTGATTGGGAGAGAAGATTTTGTCTTTTCGGTTCATGTGTGGGAGAAGTCGGATAAGAGAGCAGTTGCCAGAGGGTGAGGACAATATTCTTTGCTCTAGAAGCAACATGAAATTCTCTTGTTCATGCTGATAAAACCAGCCAGATGTCTACAGATGTCAACAGTGCGGTGCCTAGATTCACTCCGGATTCTCCCAAATAGATAGCAATTTAAAGATGTTAGTGTCGATTTGCACATTCCTGCCTGGTTTACCCTTTATGATCCCATGTTCTTCCTTTCTCCTTTGGTCTTTTCTTTCGCTCTCAAGAAAAGAAGATTGTAGAATTTCTCTCTGAGTTATCTTGCTATTATGTCGAACCCTTTGGCTTTGGACAGTTCCCGGTGGAGACTGGCAACGCTGCTGCTTCGTCTCTTTCTTCTGGTCACCGTGATGTCTCGAGATTGGTGGATAACCCGGAACAGGTATTGCTGCAAGGGAATGCCGATTCTGGACCGAACAGGCAAGTATTTGTAGACAGGAACATTGAACCCGACATCCCACCTGCGGGGGGTAGTCCGAAGCATGCACAGCGACCACCATCGAGTGGCACGTTGGTTCAGGTGCATGATAAGCAGCCAGTACTGTCGGGACAACGAGTTTTGGCACCTCGAGTGCAAACGAATTTCTCGTTCCTATCGAGTATTGCAGGTGATGCTGCTGGGCCTATCATGGGGATGTCATCGAGAACCCCAGGGGCGAACAGGATGGGCATGCCATCGTGCACCCAGAGTTATGTGCCTCAACCCTGGTACCCCACAGGTGGTGGACAGGTTGCATCGACTTTCGACCTCCAGCAAAGTGGTTTCAGACCAGGACAACCAGACTTTGGCATGGCTGACCCCACAGAGCCGCCTCAGTCCGAGGGTTATTTCGACCCAAGGCGCACAACCACTGCCTCCAAGTACGTTTTCACGGCCAAAGACGACGTGAACAAATATGTCGAAAAGCATTTCCGTAGAATGTTGACAGAGGAGGAGCGGCGTGAGATGATGTCTTATTACCCGCGCCCTGACATTGATGTCCTGCACCCACCTAAAGTGGATGATCACATCATATCTTGGGTCGGCAAAAAGCTGCCCAAGTCCGTGAGTTTGCCACCATCCAGGCAGCAGTCCTTGCGGCTGTGGGTCCGGCAGCCTTCGCCTGGTCCTCAATTCTTGAGGACAAAGAGCTCAGAACTGTGCCGGCTGAGGACGTGGCCGAACTGGTGCAACGGACCATTGTCCTTCTCGGCAACGTTAATGGCTTGATTCTTCAAGCCAGGAGGAGCAACATCCTTGACTCAATGGACAAGGAGTTTGCCAATGACGACCTGCCACAAGAGGGCCGAGTTTTGTTTGGCAGCTCCTTCACGGAAGCCATCGCTAATAAAGCCAAGGACTCGAAGGCTTTGGCGGACATGGACAGACAGGTGTCATGGGACACGCCTCGAAGACCTTTCCACCATCGGCAGCCTTTTCGGCCTAGGGGGTCCGACGCAGCCTGCGGCCGGCCCCCATATGGAAAGTTCAACCCATACAGTCGACCCAACACTGGCTCCTCTCACCGGCCAGAGTTCCGCCGGCCACCCTTTCGGCCAACCAACCGCCCGCACTTTCGGGCACCTCACGGCTGGACCAGCAGAGGGCATCCGGATTCCCGGCCCATTGCTCAAGCCCAGTAGTGGGCCCCAGGCAGCAGCTTCAGCCGTCGCCAACACCACCATTGAAGCTGCAACTGCCTTTTCCGTGGCGATGGACATCCAACCACTCTCCACCCTCGGCAGATCGAACCTCACATGCGCTGCAGAATTGGCAAGTCATCACCAACGACAAGTGGGTGTTGGAGACGGTGGAGATGGGTTTCGACCTGTATTTCCAGATTTCTACTGTTGGGATGGAGCAGTCGTCGTTAGACAATGCAGAATTCATCCTCGTCCCCAAGAGCAGAGACAGGTGGCGCCTCGTCTTCAACCTCAAGGCTCTGAACGAGTGGATAGAACCTCAGCACTTCAAGATGGAGACACTCTCCCTGCTACCAGACATAGTGGAACGCCATTGGTGGATGGCAAAGCTAGACTTACGGTTTATTTTGAAAATTTGTACCGAAATCAAAACTTCCTGCGGAAAATCGATGTTTCTCGTACCAAATTTGTACGCGAAAAATCTTTGTGCACTCGATGACGCAAAATCTCCATACGAAACATGGTTCGTATGAAAGCCAGTCCACACGGATTCTCCGTGCCGAAAAATCGTATGGAGCACGCCTGGAAATATCCGTAGCGCCCATACGGATTTTTGCATGGAAGACCGTACCCCGGAACCTCTCTATTCTTCGCCTTCACCTCCTCATGTAACCAGAATTCCAATGCGGACTCTTTCTGGTCCTGATGGAATTCCCAGTTACTGTATTGTATAAACAAGTTTGTAGTCTGTAGTGCACTCACAACTCCAGTCAACCCCTGCATCTATGGGTCACATGATAATGATAGTGGCCATGCTCCTTCCCACTCTGCCCGTATTAGGAGGCAAAGCCCGATTTTGCCGGTGAACCTTTGATATTTTTGCCGGCTCATCGTCGATATTTTGCTTTCATTTTGCAAGGTCACTCGATATTAATCCGCCCGATTCGAGGCCAAATTTGTGTCACGTGTGGGAAAACTGATAGAAAGTGGGTCACGTGTTGGCAAAATGTGCGAAAATGAGTCATGTGCACCGTAAAACGGTAAAATTTCCCAATTTCCAGCGAATATACCGATATTTTGCTCCGTTTTGCCAGCAAATTCCCTTTCAAAATTCTTCAATAAATATTATTTTTGCTAGGAGAACTGCTAGCAAAGCCGGGCTATGTCTAGTCGGCATGCCAAGCCAGGCATGGTCACTGTCCATACAATTTAATCAATTGGCAAAGATGTGAACACCACTCTATGCACACGAGGGCCGCACCTTCTACCAAAACGTACTGAAATAGATCACACACGGTCTCCAGAAGTCCTTGGCTCTGTATACACGCATTCTATCCACAGTGTAACTAGTACTGTTTTAAAAGTACAGTAATATTACTTGTATGAACATAGAAAACGTATTTCTTGACCAAGCGCAGGATTTGGAAAACAACGCACCAAAAGAAGGACCTCAAAATAACATGCTATTAAAGATCAAGTAGAGTGGAGTTGAGGAGAGTGGAGAGTAGAGGAGAGTAGAGTGGAGGAGAGTAGAGTAGAGTAGAGTAGAGTGGAGGAGAGTAGAGGAGAGTAGAGTAGAGGAGAGTAGAGTAGAGGAAAGTAGAGTAGAGTAGTGCGAGAGTAGAGTAGAGGAGAGTAGAGTAGAGGAAAGTAGAGTAGAGTAGTGCTACCACAACATTTGCTAGCTGCTACTTTTGACGGGGTAAATTGGTACCTTGTAGTCAAGGATCTCAAAAGCAAACAGCGGCGGCGAAGACGGCAGGGGGGGGGGGGGGAGGCCGAGAGCCCCCCAAGAAAGAACTGCGCGCGGTGAATAAGAAACAGCGCGCAGAATGAACAAACAAAACAAGAACGACTTGACAGGACATTGACGAAGATGAGGCGATAAACACTCATTAGAGAGCAGAGCAACGATCGAGATGGTTCCACCTAGGAGCTGGACAAGATTTTAATAGTAAAAATAAAATAAAAAGGCAGCAAGACCTCGACAACTCAATTCAGGGAGGCAGCTAGGTAGATGCCGAGGCAGTGATCTCAGCCCACTAGACGTAATAATTATAGAGAACGGACATATGCGCACCCCTGCACGTGACGGCGGTCAAGTGGAATAAACGACTCCGTCCGAGTCAGCCGTCAAGTTCAACGCCGCAGAGAATAGCAGCTTCCTGGCCGGTCTCAACGGAAGGATGGAACATGTTTAGAGTTTATACCGCCCCTGACCACACATATATTATAATTACAACTCAGCTTAATACGGGAATACCAGAAGCATCGAGAGCACATCGAGCTGCACGAAGTTGCAGGAAACAAGTTGAGTAAGATGTGCAGAGGAGCTTCACAATAAATAGTTTGGAAAACAACAAATGAAAAGTGGCACACACGTGCACGCACGCACACACACGCACGCGTGCAGGGGCGGGGGCGGCGGCCGAATCACACGATAACAATGTTGGAGCAGCGAGGGCCGGCGCTGGTGTCGGCCTGCGATGGCACTCGCATGGCCAGTATGTACTTGTGAGACTTGGGCAGCCGGCACTTACACCGCAGCTTGTGTGCAGGCAGGTCCTGGGCCAGTTTCCAGCCACTGTCTGTCAATTTGCCAACGGAGTCGGGGGAGTAGATCTGAAAGACGAGCTCAAACTGTTTGGCACGAGCGCTGGGACCGTCACCTCTAGCCTCGTGCTGTTGCTCGCCGCCAGAGCTAGGCAGCCAGCGCAGATGGACGATGCGGAATTTATTCTCGTCCTGTCTCTTCACAATGGACAGATGGTGCGACTCAGAAAGGGCGCTGAGCGACGTGAAGTCACCGGCCACTGGTCCCGTGTTCAAAGCTGTATCTGCTGCTGCTGCTGCAGATGCCACAGATGGTGAGGACTGCTGTACATCCGTTGCTGCTGACGGCCGCGTTTGCATTGATGTGACTGCTGCTGCTGCTGCAGATGTCACAGATGGTGACGACTGCTGTACATCAGTTGCTGCTGACGGCCGTGCTTGCATTGATGTGACTGCTGCTGCTGCTGCAGATGCCACAGATGGTGACGACTGCTGTACATCAGTTGCTGGTGACGGCCGTGTTGGCATTGCTGTGACTACCGCTGCTGTTGCTGCAGCCGAGGAAAGCACTGGTGATGATGTTGGTGCTGGTGACGGCGCCGATACACAGCCAAGTGAAAGATCCTTGCCTGCAGCCGCTGCGCCACCAGCAGTGTCAACTCGAACAGAAAGCGGCTCGTCCGCTGAAGCACCCTCTCTGCTGACGACACTCTGCCCAGATTGAACTTCAGCTGTGCTGACAGCTGGAGACGCACAGCCTGTCGTACCCGTTGGAGTCGAAGTGTTGTGAGATGCCTGCGTATTACAGTCTACTCGCTTAGTGCTGGGCGGCAGCAAGCCCGAAGACGCCTGCAAAGGTGTGAGAGCGACATCGGTCGTACCGCGCAACGAGCGTTCTGCCTGTGTGACACCACCGGCCGAGTGACTATGACAGACAGACTGGACATTACTACCGGTAGCGTGTGCGGCAACACTGACAGCCGAGCAAGCTTGGTCGGAGAGGGACAGCGACGGCTCAGAGGTAGATACCGGGGACATGGTTGGCAAAACAGACTGACGACCAGTCACAGCTGACAAACACTGGCTTGCCGTAGATTCTAGGTCAGCATCACCAGCAGCAGCATCACCAGCAGCAGCAGCAACAGTACCGGTAGATGCACACGAGGCTGCGCTGACGACGGAGGCGCAGGTGACTGACGGCCGTAGCTGGTGAAGTCGTGGCGGCAGTCGCAGTGCCATCGGACTATCAGCACTACTCACGCCACCACCGCTGCCGCCGTCTCCGCTAGCCACCGGACTCACACCGGTATCAGCTGGCAAGTCGAGTCGCGTCAGCTTTGAAGACACTGCTCCATCGACCGGTGTGCTGCCTTGGGAGCGCGCAGCGGTGCGATCGTGATTTCCTGTCGGACTAGATGCCTGCAAGAGTGAGCTAGGGCGCTGCTGGACAGCACCAACACTCAGCACGGACATAGACGCATCAGCAGCAGCAGAATCATCACAAGAAGAAGACTGCTCGAGACCGCTGTCCGACACATGAGCAACGTGCGACTCTGGCAATGCAGAGCCGCCAGAGACGCCCGACACTCCGGATGATCGTGTATACTCAGTGCAAGGATCAAGCGACACGGCAGTCCGTTCCCCACGATCACGTGTGCTCGGCGTCCCGCCTTCTAAAGAGCCAGATGGAGCTGCTGTGGTAGCTGTCGCCTTGAATTTTGTCACCGCAGCCGGTAGCATCTCAGACAGTGCATTGGCCTCATTCACCGGTGACGGGGGAACAGAAGATACTGATGCTTCAGCGGTCGGTGGCGGAGAAACGGAAGATACTGATGCTCCAGTCGCAAGTGCCAGGAGAACGGAAGACGCTGATGTTCCAGTAACGAGTGGCGGGGGGATAGAAGATACTGATGTGCCACTCACTAGTGGCGGGGGCACAGAAGATGCTAATGCCGTAGAACCAGTCGCCGTCCCGGAGAGACTCGTCGAGTTAGTGTACGTGGTGTTTGTAACTAGTGGCTCATCAGCACTACCCACAGCTCCACTTGACATACCACACGTATCCATTGGCGTAGCATTCACCACCGCACCAGCACCGACCGAGGCGAACTGAGATTGCATCTGAGGTTCCTGCGAGGCGGAGCCCAAAGACGATCGCTGCTGCACTTTCAACGGCTGATGCTGCATGGCGTGCGGTGGAGGGGTGTAGGTACGCTTGCTGGCTGGTAACGGACGCAGTGCCGGCGGCATCTTGCGTTTGGTGGCAGTAACGGCGACAGGTGCTGCTGATGTAATTGGTGGCGGGGGAGACTGGACCAACGCTGCTGCGAACACACAACAAGGAATCACGCATGTGCACGCATGCACGGACATATGCGTGCACACACACACGGACAGACACACACATGCACACACATACACACGCACACATATGGACAGAGAGAAGTTGGTTGTTTATCAACATGATGCAAAGTCGTAAATCCCCCCCAAAAAAACCGTTCAATATCACACAAGAGGAAAGTAATTGGGCTGTTCCTTGAGGGACCAAAACTGATTACAAACATACAGCAAAACATGTCAAGGCAACCACCTGTCCCAGAAGACAATTGCCACTAGGACCAAGGGATGTTATTTCCAGTCAAATGACCCTACGGAATGGCAGGTCGGCCTTCATGTCGTGGATCGGTCCAGCACCCTCCTCTTGAAGACCGCAGGAATGACAGGTAAGAAAAAGAATCCGAACATGACAAATGTTCTGATGGTTGCTCAGCGTGAAACACAGATCAGCAACTGACCTTTCTATTTTCTGTCTAACTCAACAAGATGCTAACTCAACAAGATGCCTACATGCATACTACTGCATACACACTAGTTGCAAAAGAGTATCTACGCATGCACGCACGAAGACACGGGCACACCCACCCACACACATACGCACGCACACACACCATTAGACCATTTGACGCCCATCGCCGGAGGCGATGATAGCGATGCTACAGCAGAAGCCATAGCAACTTGTGCTGGGATAGCACCATTCGACAGCTTGCAAGGCTGAAGAATTGACTGCCACTATTCAGCCTGGTCTACACCACACAGCTATGAAGTGGCTTTTCCGGCCAATGAATCCCTACTTCTTGGTCTTTTTCATTTTTTTCCCGCACACACATCACACTACATACTCCGGCATGCACTGGCTGTTGGTAACCACGTAGGAGAATGAAAGAGAAGAAAGACGTGTGTGACCATAATCGTCGGGAATCGAACCCGCAACCTATCGATTGGAAATCGCTGCACATACCACTGCACCATATGGGACACACACACACACATGCATACGAGTACGCATTCATACGAGCACGCATGCACATATGCCCACACACAAGCGAAGAGCTAGAATGGACAAGCGCGCAGCAGCAGCAGCAACAACAACCACAACAACGACGACGACGACGACAACAACAACAACAACATCTCTTATTGGCCACTGGCTATCGTGAGAATAAAGATTTGAAACAACAACAACAACGACGACGACGGGGAGTGTGCGTGGGGGCTGGTTCAAGTTACTATACTGTACATACCCGGTTGCTGGTGCTGCTGTGGCTCCTGTGGCTCCTGCTGCCGCTGGTGTGACTCCTGCTGCCGTTGGTGTGACTCCTGCTGCCGCTGGTGTGACTCCTGCGGCTGCTGCTGCTGATGCGGCTGCTCTTGCCGTTGTTGAAGCCTCTGATGTTGTTCCTGTTGCTGGTACTCCTCAACTCGTTGTTGCTGGTGCTTGCTTTCTTCTGGCACCGGTTGCTCAGGCCTGCGCTCCGCTGCTGCTGCTGCTGCTGTCGTAACCATGAGGGCGTTGGATGACGATGTCGCCACTGACAATGGTACTACACTTGCCGTGAGCGACACGGCTGATGCCTGCTGCTGCTGCTGCTGTTGTTGTTCTCCAATATCGGCAATGTACTGTTCTTGCTGCTTTGGCTGCTCCTGCTGCAGCAGCTGCTGTTGCTGTTGTAGTCGCTGTTGTTGTTGTTGTTGTTGTTGTTGCTGTTGTTGTTGTTGTTGTTGCTGCTGCTGTTGTTGTTGTTTCTCCTGCTGCTGCTTTAGCGCCTCCTGCTGTTGTTGTTTCAAATCTCTATCTCTATCCTCACGATAGCCAGTGGGCAAGAAGAGAAGTTGTTGTTGTTGTTGTTTCTGCTGCTGCTGTAGCGCCTCCTGATGCTGTTGGGGCTGCAGCTGCTGTTGTTGTTGACGTTGTTGTTGTTGCTGTTGTTGTTTCTGCTGCTGCTGTAGCGCCTCCTGATGCTGTTGTGGCTGCTGCTGTTGCTGTTGTTGTTGCTGTTGCTGCTGCTGCTGCTGTTGTTGTTGTTGTTGTTGTTGTTGTTGTTGTTGTTGTTGTTGTTGTTGTTTATGCTGCTGCTGCTGCTGTAGCGCCTCCTGATGCTGCTGTTGTTGTTGTAAGTGATGTTGCTGTTGCCAAAAGTGCGGCTTTGACGGCTGAACGTTTGCAAGCAGGTGTTCAGGCAACGATGCACGTAGCCGGTGCATGTTGTGCAGCTGTTGCTGCTGCTGCTGCTGCTGTAGCATGAGCAGCTGCTGCTGGTGCCGCAGCTGTGGCTGATTAAGCGAGCCGTGGGCTTGCAAATGTGCCTGGTGCTGTGACAAGTTCATGTGCACCTGAGAGGCGGCCGAGTCGGGACTGGGCGCACTGCTCGGTGCTGCCTGCACACTACTAGCTGCGCTGGCGGTTAGCAAGCCGTGGTTTGTGCCGTTCGGCGGGGTTCCCGCCACTGCCACGGCCGCATTGTGAGACGACGGAAGGGCAGTCAGCAGCCCAGGTAGCTGAGGTTGCTGATGGAACGGGTGCTGGTGAGCTTGCTGTTGCTGCTGCTGCTGCAGGTGCTGTTGCCGCAGTTGCTGCTGCTGCTGTTGTTGCTGGAGCTGATGATACTGCGGCACGTGTTGCAGCTGCTGTGGCACTGGCGTGGCATTAGCACTGCGCAGTAAGGGAGATCCGGGCGCTGACGCAGGGGGAGAGGGCTTCACCTTGGTGGGAGTGCAAACATTGGCGGCGGCGGCAGCAGCGGCGGCTGTCGTCTGAGCCTTGAAGCCGGCCATGAGAGACATGAGAGCTCGCTCTCGGTTATGGCTCTCGCCCAGGTCGGCGATCAGACGTTCTTCGGTGACCGCCAGCTCCTTCTGCGACTCTACACAGTGGACGGCGGGACGACAGCACAAGAAATCCGTGTTGACACATCATTTTAGCCAAAAATCAGCAGGATACAAAATGCATCATCTGACCTGGGGCCTTTGCCCCGGACCCTCGTTTATAGAAACACACCTTTTGACGCCCATCGTCGGAGGCGATGATAGCAATGCCATATTCGCTGCCTTGTCATTGAGCATTTGTGCTCGTTTGGAATTGCGAATTCAAATAAAGTATACAAACAAACAATGCTACGGCAGAAGCCATAGCAACTTGTGCAGGGATTGCACCATTCAACAGATTGCAAGGCTAAAGAATTGACCGTCACTATTCAGCCTGGTCTACACCATACAGCTATTTGAAGTGACTTTTTCTGGCCAGTGAATCCCTATTTTTGGTCTTATTTTTTTTCCCGCACACACCATCACACCACACACTCCGGCATGCACCCAGGAGAATGAAAGAAAAGTCAGGAAGAGTCTGGGAAAGAGAAGAAAGACGTGTGTGACCATAATCGTCGGGAATCGAACCCGCAACCTATCGATTGGAAATCGCTGCACATACCACTGCACACACACACACACACACACACACACACACACACACACACACACACACACACACACACACACACACACGCATACATAGCGCAGAAAATCACGGGTCTGAGACTCAGACTGAGAATTTTCTGACTTTTGCAATTTTTCCCAACACTGATGATGAGTTCGGTAAGAGGCGATTTACACGACGGCAGTGCATCCCGCCGGGAAGAGAAGCACGTGATCCCGAGAGCTTGCCGTGATACGGGAAAAACGAAAATCGATTCACACGGCAGGATGCACGTACAGTACCTGTACGAGGTGAATAGCAATTTCTGGACATGAAAATAAAATAGAGGCCCACTGGCTGTGTGTTTTACATTTTTCATATCTTTTTGTATCTATTGTATGGCCTAATCCTTCATCTTTCGAAATATGTGACAATTGCTCATGCTGTGATCCCAGACACTTTATAGCGGGATGTTTTCGACAGGCCAATTTTTGGGCCTAAATTTCAGTGTATGGAATTCTGGACATGAAAGTAAAATAGCGTCAATAGGCATCCAATACTGCACCATTTTTGTAATTTTTTCTATTGGTGGACTGCAGTTGGCCTCTTCACACTTCCAGCCAACAGGTCCAAGACTATACAGCGTCTGAAGTGCAGTGCACATGGGGAAGCCAACGATTCGTCCATTACTTCTTATTTTACTCAAAATTCAAAATTCTCATGCGACATAGTACCACAAAACTCGTTGAAATGCCTCCGAGGAAAAGGCTATCAACAAGGCACCGACATGAGGAGAAACTACAACAACCCAGCTGTCAACTACAACAAGAAAAAACTTCATCAACCTGACTGACTTGACTCTACACGCGACGAAAAATTATTTTACTCGAAATGTCCGGAAATGTCCAATGTCCAGAAATAGCAATTCACCTCGTAGTACAAAACAGTCCACGGAATGCCACGGTGTGCATTTCTACCCGCACATTCTTTTTGGATTTTTTGGCCCTGAAACGAATATCGCTCATTTGGGGGGGGGGGGGGGGGTGAGCCAAAATCCCAAGTCGAGCGACACCGTTCATGAACATGTACAGGAGTGCGATTTTCGTCGTTCAGCATAGCGAGCAGTGTTCTTTTTGAAGGGTGGAGAGGGGTCAGAGTTTAAAAAAACGAACGACTCTCGTTCAAGGGACGAAAAACTTCGGCGACGACCCCCAATAGTGTACCGTATTTTCCGGAGTATAGTGCGCACTTTAGATGTGCTATTTTAGGCCCTAAATCGCAGGTGCGCATTATGCTCCGAATATGAAATGCATGTACTTCAATGAAGATTGGGGGTGCGCACTATACTCCGAAAAATACGGTAGTATCAATAGTACAATAGTGCTGTTCTGCTCTGCGCTACGGGACAAGCGACGCGTCATGTTCCCCCAACGTAAAGGAAGCCGGTTCTGCTCCACGTTCACGCAAGGAAATCACGTGGGATGTATACCGGGATTTTCCCGTTCCAAATTTGGCAGTTTTTTAATTGATTTCAATGACACCATGCAGATCCGTACTCATTTTCTCTGCGTGAGCGCAAAAGTAGGGAGCCTCATCCCCGCGTAGAAATCCGGAACCCAAAACACACGAACCCCTAGATGCTAATCAACTATTCAAGACACCTGGTCCCAAAATGATTTCTCTACGTTTCACGTAGAGCAGAGCCTAACTAATGCCCTGTACCCCTGTGTCAACGTACTCTATGCTTCTATGGGACACCAGTGCAAGGGTGGAGATCATGAAATACTTCTCATTAGCCACTACAGGCTATTAGGCTATTGCTTATCTCTCTCTCTCTCTCTCTCTCTCTCTCTCTCTCTCTCTCTCTCTCTCTCTCTCTCTCTCTCTCTCTCTCTCTCTCTCTCTCTCTCTCTCTCTCTCTCTCTCTCTCTTCTCTCTCTGTCTCTCTCTCTCTGTCTCTCTCTCTCTGTCTCGCTCTCCTTCCTTCCCTCCCTCCCTATGTATTTGTAGGTTTGTCCGTCGATAATATTAAAAAATTGACCGCAGCAGGACAGCAGGACAGACTAGATCACGACTGAGTTGACATTTCGACCATACTGGTCTGTCTGTCTGTTTCTGTCACTCTGCCGTCAAGGGCAGTATTGTGCCGGACTTTCGCAGCCTACAAGGGACATTTCTGAAAGAGATACAGAGATACAGAGATAGAGATAGAGAGAGAGGGAGAGAGAGAGAGAGAGAGAGAGAGAGAGAGAGAGAGAGAGAGAGAGAGAGAGAGAGAGAGAGAGAGAGAGAGAGAGAATATAGCCGTTTCGGTGCTTATGCAGGAGCCCGGGGGCACCACGACATGGAGAACCGATGAAAGAGTTGAAACTCACCTTGGAATTGTCGGGTGATATCTTGTATTTCAGACTGTGCTGCAGCTAAGCTTTCTTTAGCCTGCTTGAGCTCATCAGCAAGAACGTTCTTTTCGTCTGCTACAACGTGCAATTTGGCAAGCGTCGTGCTTGTTAACTGCATGTACTGATCACGAATGCTGAAGATTTGCCGATTCTGGAATGGAAAGGTAGCAAACACGGGTCCACACACACACGCGCGGGCGCGTGTGCAGACGGTCCATGCATGCACATACACCCACGCATGCACACACACACACATGCACACACACACACATGCACACACATGCACATACATGCACACACACATGCACACACATGCACACACACACACACACCACCACCACACCACACACATATACCGCAAGAACAGCAGAAATCAGCAACAAGAGCAAGTGCACGCAGAAGCTGGCCAAAAGCCTAAAGCACGCTACACAATAGCGATGCAAGTAGTATTCGAATAGTTGAATAAAAGAGAGAAAAAATGCCCCCAGAAAGAATATTCGAACGCAAGTTGTAGCATTCATAGTGTATATATGCCCTGCTCCAAACTTGATCTCTTTAGGACTGTCAAAGAGCACAGTAAAGGAATGCAAACTCTCAAGCATATTTTCTTCAAATTTGCTCATTCGCCAGTGGTTGTAACTTGTAAATGATGAGAAGTTCTGCATGCAACATGAACTAGTGTAAGTTAATCATGCGAGAGTACCGCGTTGTTCGGCTCCCCATCATACTGTGGACACTGACACAGAACAATAATATCACTAGTACTTACTGTGCATTCCCTCAGCTGCGTTATATCCTACACACACACACATACACACACACACACACACACACACACACTCACACACACACACACACACACACACAAACATATATACACACACACGCGCGCACAAAAGCGCATGCAGAGCAACACAAACAGAACAAAAAAAGGAAATAAACTAACGTCAGGAAGAACGCCAAATATGCTCAAACAAAACCGGATCAAAAACTCCAAAAGTACAATTTCCAAGAAAATATGACACGATTTCGGAGGGATACTGGCCGAAAACCAAAAGAAATGAAGAACACCACACAGGGTCACACAAAAGCTGCCACATTGCGTTTCATACAGTGCAAAACAGACCTAAAAGCAAGAAAGAGAGAGAGAGAGAGAGAGAGAGAGAGAGAGAGAGAGAGAGAGAGAGAGAGAGAGAGAGAGAGAGAGAGAGAGAGAGAGAGAGAGAGGAGAGAGAGAGAGAGAGAGAGAGAGAGAGAGAGAGAGAGAGAGAGAGAGAGAGAGAGACACCCACACACACACGCACACCATGTACCATGTACCATGTATACGCCCGTCGCAAGAGAAGCACGCAAATCTGCAAATGCACTGGATGTGCACCCATAGATTTTCTCACACACACACACACACACACACACACACACACACACACACACACACACACACACACAAAGAGACAGAGAGAGACAGACAGTTGATGACACATCGCAAGCAGTACCCACCTGCTCCAACTGGGCATTAGTACTCATTGCATCTGAGAGCTGTGCCTCCAGTTGAGTACATCGTCTATCATACCTAGTGAGGTGGTCGTATCGTGCTTGATGTTGCGCTGTAACTGCAGATAGCTGCAGAGAGAGAGAGAGAGAGAGAGAGAGAGAGAGAGAGAGAGAGAGAGAGAGAGAGAGAGAGAGAGAGAGAGAGAGAGAGAGAGAGAGAGAGAGAGAGAGAGAGAGAGAGAGAGAGAGAGAGAGAGAGAGAGAGAGAGAGAGGAGAGAGAGAGAGAGAGAGAGAGAGAGAGAGAGAGAGAGAGAGAGAGAGAGAGAGAGAGAGAGAGAGAGAGAGAGAGAGAGAGAGAGGAGAGAGAGAGAGAGAGAGAGAGAGAGAGAGAGAGAGCCATAAACCCCGTTAGTAAAATCTGAAATCCACTGGCGAAACGTGGTGCTATCCAATTGTTTACAGGTCCGGTTACACATAATTCGTTAGTATATAAAATTCATCATCATAACGACCCTTTGCCCAGGTCCACCTGAGTGCCAAACCCTCAGTACACAAGATGTATTACAACAGGTTGGAGTCAAAACGCTGGTGATAATTTGTAGGAGCTGAAGTTTTTATAATCTTTATTATTTAAAGGATCTCCCAGAAGTGCGCCCTAGTTCCTGTTGTACTGCCTACGAGAATGAAAAATGATCAAAACATGCGGGAATATACATGTTTCAGATAGAATGTGTTCAGCCAACTTCGCGAATACGACTGCGGATATAACGACAATTCGCGAATAACGACCGAATTTCCATGCCCTGAGCAAAGTCCCATCTAACTGCATACATTTAACTTCGGATATAACGACTATCTGAATAACGACAATTCACGAATAGCAACATGCTTTTAGTGCCCCGAGGTCATATTCACCGCTTGAATAACGACTTTCTGGGCTTTTGACAGCTATTTCAAGTACCCGTCAGTCAAGTACATGTACATGTATATGTACCTGTCATGCAGAAGTACCAGAACCCACGGTGATGGATAAAGGCACATATGCAAGAACATGCAGCCAGGGGGGGGGGGGGGGGGGGGGGGGGGGCTTTTTCTTTTTTGCTTCAAAATTGTTGGATTTACCAGCACACCTTCATGTAGTTATACATGACTGTAGACTGTACAGTAATCACCATACATGTACATGACATGTCCCTGGCCCTGTAAATGGGCTAAGATGGCTCAAAAGGGCATATTTTACAATTTATTTCCTTGCATATTGACTTTATGGATCCTTTCAACTGCAATATGAAAACAAAGTACACCTTGACATAGAGCAAAAAAGAGCTTGATTTTGATATGCATGTCATACTATACAAAATATGGGTTTACATACATTCAAATGGGACTTCGGTTATAAGGACACTTCGCGAATAAGGACACTTTTCTGATGCCCCGCCGAATGTCGTTATTCGCAAAGTTGACTGTAACTAACCTCTGTTAGGCTCGCATTGACACGGCCCAGCGGTGTATCGTTGCCCATTGGCGCCTCCAAAATCTTATTCGTTGCAGCTTTGACAAGTCGTGTCAACTCCTACAGGCAAGGCAGAAAGCACGCAACAATCAAGAGAAAACAAATAAGTGGTGTTTCAGTCCCTGGACTTCCCTTTTATTTCATAGTGAACAACTTAATGTATTTTTAGTCACTCAAATGCCCATACCACACACGCAATAGAGCATACTTTACTGGGATGACACCAAACCTAATACCGTAAAGTCTTGTATAGAAGCCTGCAAAATTTCACCAAGAAAGTCATAGAAGCCGCGGCTTTTATACAAAACTTTACGGTAGTCAAAACATTTCTGCCAGTTTACACTATCTCTTTTGCCAGTTCATTGTTCATTAGCAGACGTAATACTGCATAAGCAGGCAATTTAGTCGGTGAACGCTAATACGCAATTCACACGACAGGCGAATCCACGTGCACCGGACTGTTGCTATCGTATTTCACCTACGAACGAGAAAAGTGCCCGAAAGTGGATGAAAAGAACAAGCGACCTGGGGACCCACTTTCAAGATAATCATGGTGTGTATGAGTGCATGTACACCAAAAGGTGCGAAACAAGATTTGATTTTCACGCAGCTCCTCTTTACTCGTTTAGTTGTGCAGAAAATTTGAAAAAATCGAAATAACCATGGCAACTGGTGGGTGAATCATTCAAAAATGCAAACGTGCCTGTCGTCGAGTGCAGCCGTGTGAATCCACACAATCACTTTCCTCGCGACTCACTTGCTGTGAAACGTGCAAGTGCCTGTAGTGTGTATCGACTATAACGGGCTAACAATTGTCCTTTAGAAATAAACACACGATTTTACCATGCACAACACAGACACACAGACACACGTGCACGCACGCACACACACACACACACGCATACACACGCACGCGCCATGTTTGACATAACATAAGGCCGGCAAGCGCACTCACCCCTTCCTGAAGGTCGCTCAAAAGCGAATGCGTCTGTGTGCCAACTGATGCTATTGTCACCTGGACACCGGGACTGGGTGCTACACGTAGATCAGCATTATCCACTTGCTCCAAATCACTTGCAGCCACTAACGGACAGTCGAGATGAGATGGCGGCACGCTCAGACAATTGACGAGATCCTCCGCCATTTGATCCGATTCGCTGCTCGAGCTCAGTGACGAAATAGAGCCGTTGTCATTGTTTCGTTCCAGCGAGTTAGCATCAGTGTGTCGCCGTGGATCGTCGCCTCTTACCGATGGTAGCGTGCGGTCGGACATAGCAGTGGAGGCGAGTGACCAGTCAGGCGGGCTTGATATCGCCTTGGTGAGCGCTTGGCTCGCCAGCAATAGGGCGCTCCTGGGTGCTTGCGACGGTGTGCTACACTGCGCTGGTTCTAGCGCGGAGTCGGCGCTAGACACTGTGGCGGTGTCCTTTGCAGAATCACCGCGACCTACCAACACCAGCGCATGCAATGGTGGCGGGGTGGTGGCTGTCGATGCCGAAGCAGCGTCTTCGCCGGCTTCCATGTCCTCTGCGACCGACTCGTCCGTGCAATCTGGTGATCGTAGAGTGATAGCAGCATCTTCAACCGGCGCAGGGTCCTCAACCGGAGCAGGGTCCTCAACCGAAGCAGGGTCCTCAACCGGAGCAGCATCTTCAACAGGGTCAGGGTCCTCAACCGGATCAGGGTCCTCAACCGGAGCAGCATCTTCAACAGGATCAGGGTCCTCAACCGGAGCAGCATCTTCAACTGGAGCAGGGTCTTCAACCAGAGCAGGGTCTTCAACTGGAGCAGCATCTTCAACCGGAGCAGGGTCTTCGACCGGAGCAGGGTCTTCAACCGGAGCAGGTGACGCGTGAACAGTGGCGTCGACCTGGCTGCTCGGTTGCGGCGACGGTGGAGAAGAATCCTCGGCGCCCGATGGGCTTGCGTCAGCAGCAGCACAGGAATTGTTTACTGGGGACGACGCGGCACGAGTATCAGCTCCTGCAGCACTCTTGACATAGGAGTCAGTCTCTCGCACTCGCCCAGCAGCGGATCCGGTCAGGTTGACACCGACAGCACCTGACTGCGAAGCCGAGGGGGACTGGTCGTCATGTACAGGACAAATGGCATTGCTGAGCTCGTCACTAGAATCATGTATACCATCTTGCTCTTGCACGATAACCAAGCCACCACTGCTGCTCGAAAGAGAAAGGTCGGAATCAGAAGAGTCCAATGGTGGCTGATCCACTGGGGCCGGTGAGCTTGTCTGCAGCGGAACTATATCCCCGCTAGGTGACGGAGACTCCTCCATTATTTCCATGGAAACCGAGTCGTCCATTGACATGGGTTCTTCGGACAGCATGGCAACTGAGGAAGGACGCTCCACTGCTTCCGGCGGCATGCGCGACTCAGCTGACTGCGGGACGGTTTCCATGGAAACGGAGTCATCAATCGTCCCCGACTGGGAGCTGATCTCCATGGATACGGAGTCATCAATCGTCCCGGACGGGGAGACGGTTTCCATGGTCACTGAGTCATCAATCACCCGGGACTCATCGCTGGATACAAAGTGCTCGTCGATCTTGAGAGCGTCGTCTTCTGACTCCGAAGTGCTGCTAGCAATACGGGGTACAGCTCTCACACGAGCAGGTGCTGACAACTGTTGCACTGTTACTGGCGCCGCTGCGGCGGGTTTCTTGATGGAAGGCTGCGCGTCGCCAAAGCGAGAAGGCCTCTTCGCACGCACAGCAGTTACGGCGGTCGGGCCACTCGTCGCCCCGGTTACAGATTCGTTGGCAGTGCGACCATCAGACGCAAGGGCAGTGGGCCCTTGGCTGGCAGGTTCCTCGCCTGAAGACCCGAGCACTGTTGCATTGTCACCATTAGTTGTAGCCATCACCACCGGAGTTGGATTCTGATCACTGGCGGTGCCAGTCGCTGGTGAGCTCGGCCGGCTTACATGCAGAAGACTTGATGTCCGTGGCGGCGATGTCTTGCTTTTCACGATTTTGCTTTGTGAGTCCGTGAAACGAGACGGTCGTTTCGAAACGACTGCACTCGTACCGGACACATCTGCTGCCTGGTTTGAAGCTTTGGCAACGGCAGTGCTTTTGGACGTTGGGGTCTTAGATATAGACGCACGTTCTTTGAAAGTGTGAACACTTTCTGCTGCCTTGCCGGTACAGTCATCAGAAGAGGCTGTACCGGAAGGCGAACTTGGTCTGCTTCTCTTCGGCGCATTCCCGGTCTGCAGATCTGATTGAGTTCTCTTGGCGACGGCTGCTTTGGCAGCTGGGGTGGTGCTTCCACCTCCATTGCCGGAGGAGAGTAGGGATCGGTGGCGTGACGGGGATATTGGCCGGTCTTTCGGAGCTGACGCCGACTTCTCACTCACTGCTGCCGGTTTCGTCTTTGCCGTGACTGCCACGAGTGGAGAAGCCCGGACGCTTGAGTCTCTCGAGGCAGCAGCCACCTGCTGCTTTCCTCCGTGCGGCTTCTCTAGCGACTTAGGCTGTGCATCAGGCAACGAGGTTGCCGAGGCTCTGCGGTTGACAGCAGTTTTGTCCGCGGCTGCTCCGCTTGTATCCGATAGCTGTCCTCCCTTTCCAGCCGAGGGCGAAGACGTGCCAGACTTGTCAGGAGCAGAGTTCTGTGTGGCCTGCGACTTTGATTTCGCACCGGAACTATTCGTGGATGACGAGTGCTCAAGTCGGACAGGAGAACTATTCTTAGATGACACTGGAGACAGTTTCTTTCCGACGGGAGATCGATCTCGACTACGTCTACCCATCTCTGGAGAAGACTTTGAACGTGAGTTAGAAGGCGAGATTTGAGCCGCAGAGGATGACAAGCGAGGAGAGGATGGTGACGAAGAGCTGGATGCGGTGCCTTTGCGCCGGTCAAAGCGTTCCCGCCCGCGCTTCCAATCGTGCTCCCTTTCTTTTGCTCTGTCAAAGCCGCTGTTAGCTGGCCTCGCGTCTCGCCGGTACCTGGAGTCGCGATCACGTTCGCTGTCGTCGCCGTTCCGATACGAGCGCTCTCGCGCCGACTGACTGCCGTATTTGGAATCCGTATGGTCGTCGTGCCGACGCGAGTCGTGGCGTTGATGATGGTGATCGGCCTCGCGTTCCCGGTGCCGGGAAGAACCGTAATACGCATCCGATCTGCGATCTTCGGCCCTGCGATCATGCGACCTGTGGTCATCGTCTGGTCTATGATCATTGGGTCTGCGGTCATCAGCTATGTGCTCCAGAGATCTAGAATGGGGATCGGGTGCAGTGTCATCAGGTCTGCGCTCCGCTGGTCTACCACTTGGCAGTGACGAGCGACCATCCAGACTTGGTGCAGCTGCAGGTGGTATAGGTGAAGACGACCACTCGTCGCGATACGAATCTTTGCTACTGGCATCGCTTCTTACGCTGCTGCCGCTGCTATTGATCGTTCTGTCCCCGTTCGTAGCACGTAGTCCTCCCTGGCCTGCTCTCCCGTGTGCATGGTCGGTGACAACCAGTTTTAGCGGCGCGTCATCACTGCTGGCCTGCAGGTTGTTATTGCGACGAAAGTCGGCCGTGCTCAGGCTGGCGGTGCTCGCTCCCTTGGACTCGGCGACGACTCTATTACCTGCCTCAACGGTTCCACGCACCCTTCCAGCAGTGGTAGCGTCCCTGGATAGAGGCGAAGCATTGCGCAGTTTCACGCCTTGCTGGCTTGCAGACTGGCTTGGCTTGGACAGGCTGCCGTGGTTATAATCTCTCACGAGAATATTGCTGAGACCGCCGCTGTTGCTATTGCCGCTTTTGTCATTACTGCCACTGCTGCTGCCATCGCGTGCAAGGGCTGAAGCATCACTGCAGAGACCTGCTTTGGTGACTGGCGCAGTGGATCTGTGGGTTGCTTCACCGGCCGACTCCTGTTTGCTGCTGGTGGTGTGACTGTTGCTGTTGTTGCTGCTGCTCACAGCGGTCTGTACGGGACAGCGCAGTCCTGTGGAACTCTTGCCGGTCGGCTTACCGCTGGGCGAATACGGTGGTAGTCGATTGCGCGAGCTCGTCGCCGACACGGGTGTGTTGCTACGAGACAAGGGTGCGCCACCGCCGCTGTGGGGTGAAGACGACACCGTGCCTGCTGCTGCTGCCGCCGCGCGAACATGATTCGCCTGCGCCTGCGTGGCATTCACCGGCGCTTTCGCTTTGCCTGCAAGGGGAGGTGCCGCCGCGCGAACAGGATTCGCCTGCGCCTGCGAGGCATTCACCGGCGTTTTCGCTTTGCCTGCAAGGGGAGGTGCCGCCGCGCGAACAGGATTCGCCTGCGCCTGCATGGCATTCACCGGCGCTTTCGCTTTGCCTGCAAGGGGAGGCCCTGCCTGCTCCGGTGCTGGCCTGGAGACAACCATGCCGTTCAGTGCAGGAGAGGTCGTGCCGGACCGAGAACCAGTGCCGGACGTTGACCATTCACAACCGTTGTCCGCAGTGCTTGCCTGATCAAACCCGGGCAAAGGCTTGAGGGCGGCATTCAAAGTGGACCGAGCTGCTGCTGCTGCCACTGCTGCTGTTGAGTTGGTGCTCTTACTCGTCGTCGACCAGGCAGAGGAAGAATCCACGCCACTGTTGTTGTCCTTCTCCTGAGCAGCTTTCGGCCGTGCTGAAGCGGCTAGCACGGGCCGAAGCACGGGCTGGTGTGGTGCTTGCGCTGTACCCCTGTTATTCCGCGTCAGGCAAGAGGCAACCGGCTTGCGATTGCCGCCGAGCGCTGGCGTCAGCGCCGGTCTAGAGCTGCGTTCCACCGGTGATGCTGGGTGTGGGCTAGCAGTGTTGGACCGAGACAGAGAAGTAATCGGGTTAGCATTGCTGGACTTAGAGAGAGCAGTACTTGGGCTAGCAGTGCGGGACTTTGAGAGAGAAGTAATCGGGCCAGTGGTGGACTTAGAGAGAGTAGTACTTGGGCCAGTGGTGGACTTAGAGAGAGCCGTACTTAGGCCAGTGGTGGACTTAGAGAGAGCCGTACTTGGGCCAGTGGTGGACTTAGAGAGAGTAGTACTCGGGCTAGCAGTGTTGGACTTCGTACTTAGAGCAGTACTTGGGCCAGTGGTGGACTTAGAGAGAGCGGTACTCGGGCTAGCAGTGTTGGACTTCGTACTTAGAGCAGTACTTGGGCCAGTGGTGGACTTAGAGAGAGCGGTACTCGGGCTAGCAGTGTTGGACTTCGTACTTAGGGCAGTGTTGGACGATCTAGAAAGAGCAGTACTACCGGTGTGCCGCGGACACGCTGTCCCGGTGGACCTGGAACTCTCATTACCTCCAACAGCTGCTGCTGCTGCAGTGGTACTGCCATCGCCAACGCTTGAGCAAGACGTACTGAATCCACCGGCGGAGTGGCTGTTGGCTGTTGTCGTGCTGCTACCAGGCCGCTGGGCGGATGGAGGAGGGTAGGAATTGACGGCTGTCCCTGCAGGCGTATGCAATGGTATGCCAGTGGTTTTCACGCCGAGGCGTAGGCGCTCTCGTAGCTTGAAGACCTTTGCTTGATCAACGTCGACAAGCTGCCTAGCTGCTTCACCAGCCGACGCCGCTGTTGCGTGATCGGCGGCAGATGAGCCGGCGCAATTCCTGGCTGCGCTGCGGACACCAGCTGATCGCTCTGCTCCGGTCTTCCCCGATGCGACAGGAGTGGGGTTAGCGCTGGCATCTCCAGGCGCCGTCGTGAAGCGATCGAACAGTGATCGTTGCTCCATCGACTCTTTGCTCGCTTGCCCCGATTCGGTCAAGCGAGTAGACTGACGGGATGACTCAGGGAGTACAGTTGCAACGCTCACGACATAATCAGAGCAGGGATCGACCAGCGGCAGCGGACAAGCATAAGAACTAGCTCCCGCTGGCTTAGCGCCTTCTGCTGGTGCCTGCTGGGACACACTGTCTACTGAACGCTGACGACGGAAGGGTGCCGAGGCACGAGCCTTGGCATGTGTGTGGGCGGACAAGACAGCTTCCGCACCACGCCCGACGTCGCCGTGCACTGGTGACGCGAGTCGGATTAGCAGAGTGCGGCCGCGTACGGTATCCCGTCTGATGTAGCGAACGGGTGATGTACAGCGGAGACTGTCAGGATTGCTAATGATCGGCTGCTGTCGACGGCGATCCGGACGATGGTGGTGAAGATGACGACGACGACAACGACGAAGAGGAGACTGATGAGATTGTCGGCGTCGACGATCACGGAACGTGAGCAGAGATGCGCGCCCACCGGTTTGTGGATTGGTGCCAGGATTGCTGCTGCTGCTGTTGCTGCTGGTGGTGGTACACGTGCAAGTGCTGACCCACCTAGGGCATGCCGGGCTACCGGGACCACTGTGCGCACAGGGAGAACGTAACAGCAGGCGGCGAAACACGTCACTGACACCACCTGCAAACAACAACAACAACAACAACAACAACAACAACAACAACAACAACAACAACAACAACAACAACAACAACAGAAAAAGAATTCAAAAAACAACAACAACAACAACAACAAGTCAAGGAGATGAACAATTTAACGAATTAACAGGTTTGAACTCGGACGTTGAGTCAAATTAATCACGGATAAAAAGAGAGTTGTCGCACACGCTGACTGTACGGCGATCTGGTTACGTTGGCGGACAGTTAGTCATAACTCGTAACATTTAGCCCTTTCTTTTTATCCAGAATTAACAGGTGTGCAAACTCTCGCTACAGTCATCTATTGTCGGGAGAGAGAGAGAGAGAGAGAGAGAGAGAGAGAGAGAGAGAGAGAGAGAGAGAGAGAGAGAGAGAGAGAGAGAGAGAGAGAGAGAGAGAGAGAGAGATGGATGAATGGATAGATAGATCTGTCCGCAGTGACAAAAGTGATAACAAGGTCAGGTGATAACGACACGCGCTCATGGCTGGGACAGGAACATGTAGCACGAGTGAAAAGGAAAGTGCAACAAAAAGCAGTCAGTCTAACACCAGAAAAGTTAGTTATTGCATGTGCCACAAAAACAAAGACACTGTGATAAATGTTCCTGTCCCAGCCATGAGCGCGTGTCGTTATCACCTGACCTTGTTATCACTTTTGTCACTTAGGGTATGCTTTGTTTCTATGCAGAATGAGCGCAATTGTACCAATTTAGCCCTATAAAGATGAGTCAATTCTTATTATTCTTTCATTCAACATCATATGCCTCCGCTGATGAGCTCAGGAGGAGCGAAACAGCTGTCTGGAGAGTCATTGTCAATATCAATCTATATACCGGAATTGTCCTCGCTGTGGGGATGGTGATGTAAGTGCAGAGTTTGGTTCGGCCAAGAGCGCAATGTGGTGGTGTGGTGACTATATTGACTGCTTATATTTGACTGCTTAGGGGTTGTGCAGTTGAACGGTGCCTAGTGCAGCATGGTCACTGTATGAGTAGGTGATGGCGCAACGGTTGTGCAATCATAAAACCGGGATTTATGAGGTTATCGTTCTGGAATATGAAATACGGACTGTTTGTCGTGATAAATCTAATATTGACTTCGTACCTGGTCAGTATAGGAAATAAAAAACTCGTAAAAGACCTCGGCTTCGCCTCGGTCTTTTACTCGGCTTTTATTTCCTACTAGCAGCACCCCCGCCAGCGTTGCCTGGCCGAATGTGGCATGCGGGTGAAGCAAGTACATGAACAGCACACGTGCTCAGCACGTGGTGGTGGCCAGACCGCTGAAGTCCTCGTTGGAAGGAGAAGGAGGGACGTCTGTTACGCCTTCGGGAGGCTGGTCAGGGTTGTCCATCACCTGGTGGCGGATGAAGCGGCTCAAAAAATTCATAAACTTACGAACAAAAGTGCGATGCGCTCTTCACTGCAGATCAGATGCAGAGTGCAGTCAGTGCAGATCTTTTGTATCCTTTTGTTGCAGATGTTTCTATTTGCAGAGAACGGTTCACGTGGTCCGCAGCGCTTGTGCGGCTGCTAGTAGTGCTACCTATGCCATGGCCTAGGCTAGGTGGCTACATGATTCGCACGCTTCGCGTGCTCAGTGCTTCTGCGCGCGGCTGCTACTGCTACTCGTACTGATCGTGTCAGCTATGTATAAGTATAAGCGCTACCACCGTACCTACACTGTTCGCACGCTTCGCGTGCTCAGCACGTGGTGGTGGCTACACGATTCGAACGCTTCGCGTGCTCAGTGCTTCTGTGGCTGCTTCCGCTAGCTACACGATTCGCACGCTTCGCGTGCTCAGTGCTTCTGCGGCCGCTAGCTATACACCATGATACACTGTGCTACACTTGACACTTGACTTCAGGGCAGCGCTGCTCCGCAGCGCTTCAGCGTGACACAAAAACACACGTCACAGGTGCCTCTTCTTTATAAGGAGCGTGACACACACACACACACACACACACACACACACACACAGACACACGTCACAGGTGCCTCTCTTTTATAAGTAAAGATATTGACCTCGTACTCAGTCAATATTAGATACTTATTAGTTTAAACAATCGACGAGGAGACAATAGTCGTAAAATGGCAATAAATAAGATAAATTGTGCACTCATAACAACAGCAAAAATGAAGAAAGTCAAGTAATACACACGCACCATTACATTCATTCACACAGTATCACATTCATCTGCCACTACCTTTCTCACATACACTATATTCACACATTGCAAAGGTGCAAACTTCGCTTTTTGTACTTGTTAGCTGCTGTATTTCTACCTGAAACCATATTAGCTACATGTATATATTCAAGTGTGTGTTTTAGTTATTACATTTTTATGTGACGGCGTTCCACTGATGACAGTCACAAGAAAACGTTATGGAACTAGACTTTCTTCATTTTTGCTGTTGTTATGAGTGCACAATTTATCTTATTTATTGCCATTTTACTTATTAGTTTGATTGATTTTACACTAAATAATATAAAGGGTGAGGCTTCTTGCAGTTTCAGATGAAAGGCATTGGAGCTGACAAGTTCGAGCTTTTGCAGGGTTATGGGAACGAGCTTGTCAGCTCCAATGCCTTTCATCGATTTTTATAGAATCGGTGAATTCAAAATCTGGTCACTATTTCTTTTTATTGCTTGACATGATGACTGTAGGCGTCATTGATAACAAAATTGATTGCTTTCACACGCATTTGTGCAGGACGACCGACAAACTGCGTCAAAGTCTACAAGTACTTGTAGCTGACATCGTCCAGCCTCAAGGTCCCAAGCGAGGCCGGAGCGACAGTTACTCGGCCTCTAGTTGCCTGGACGTACATCTGCTTCTCGCACTGATGACGTGTGCACACATGAACGGAAATTCAGAATTTTGACTTACGATTTGCTCGCAGCTGAGCAGAGGACGTCCGGTGTGGCCGCTGAGGTAAACACCGGTGCAGGGAAACACTGTGGAGGATCTGTTGACAAAAACACGGATAGCTGCCAGCTGTCACTGAAAGGACAGCGGAAACAGGGCTCGCAGGTCATGCAACTCAAAAAAACATCAACTAAAAACACTGATGAAAGACCAGAAACTGCCGGCACACGTACACGCAGAGTATACACAATAATTTTATGCACAGTCTACAAAGACTTCAATCATGTAGGCAGCAACAAATCGGAGAGTGGTTTGATTTGTGGATTGGTCTACAAAACGTACAGCTTCAACTACAACGGCGTGCACGCGTGGTATCGGCCAGGCCTGCATGCGCATGCAGCCTAGCGCGCCTGTACTGTACTAGTGTAGCTGTGCTCATATCAGGCCAGGGTCATGACGTCAGCTGGATTACTAAAAAAATATTTTTTTATTAAAAGTACTAAAAATCGAGGGCCAAGCGCATGACGTCATTGATTTTTTATTTTATTGTTTTTGTAATGGGTTTGTAAAGATACGACTTTTCCCACACTCAAGGATTCACTGAAGCTTTTTTGCGATGCGACACGCGATGCGACAGACGCGAAACCGGGAAAACCCCAAATCGCACCCCACGCAACTGCCGCAACTGGGCCATCGCAGGCCATCGCAGAAGTTGAGCTTGGCTCAACTTTTGCGATGCGATGCGATGCGACAAGCGATTTGGCGTACGATTTTGACCTTTTCTACAGCAAAGTTGTACAAAGGTTCAAGAGTGGCTTATAAATTTGTACCAAACCGCGCGAATATCATGGTGACGTAACCAAATCAGCAAGACTTTGTCGTATCGCTGACTTCTTCTGTGAATGGTATTTCGCGAGTTCGCGTCGCACGCGTCCGTCGCAAATCGCGTCGCATCGCGTGTCGCATCGCAAAAAAGCTTCTGTGAATCCCGCTTTACTCTCGATCTCGCCTTGCCTTGCCTCGAATGAGCCCAGCTCAGCTGCGGTGTAACTTGTGGGCCCTGTTGCACGGAGCGCCACAAGGCACAACTGTCTAGACAATACGGTAGGGCGCGCTAGCTACATGTAGCTACAGTATCGATAGCTCTAGACCAGACGGGCCGGCTAGAGCTTCTTTGATGATGATCGATCCCTGAAATAAAACCAGGCCATGGATTTTCAGAAGCCACACTGCTGACAACAATGGAACTACTTGGAAGCGCCGCGCCGCAGCTTCTTGTCTCTTTCCCTGGTGACACTCGTATCAACCTCCCCTCGACGGCGCACGACTCGGCTGCGACCATGGTGGCTTCCAGGGATGTAATCGCGAGTAATCACAGTGCAGTATGTGGCCGAGGGTCAGACTCAAGACAGTCCGACTTGGGAGGCCCTGCCTCTCTCTAACAATACTAAACACTAACAATCATGAATGCCAATGGTTTGGAACTTACTTACTCCTGCATTGACTGGCGATGACTTTAAATACTGGAACTGAGTTTTAGCAATACCGGTAATAGAAGTGAAAAAGACTAACAAGAGAAGGAGCAAGACGACAGGAAAGCCGAAGACCAAGACGACCGAGGAGAAGACCCAGTTAACAATGGTGAATGCAGACAAACGACGCTGGTTTTATAGCTAACGAGTAACGTAGAGGTCTAAGAAGTCACGAGGAGTAAGAATCCAACTTGTAGGCAGTGTCATGAGTGGGTGAAAGAAGTTGCCTTTGAATGTGCACGAGAAGAAAAGTGACAGAATGATGATTGTGTGTGTGTGGAATCTACTCGGAAGACAGACGAATGCAGGCCAAGAGCGAGGTACATAGATAATAGGGTGGTGAGTTGCGAAAAGCGAGTATATGAGAGACTAGTCGACTGGTATGGTAGTGTACAATGTATGAGCTATATTGTACATGTAGTAGTGTAAATTGTATACAGTATAGGGTATACGTACTACCAAGAGTACATAACCCCCCGGGGGTTATGTACTCTTGGTACTACCTTACTGTCCTTAGTGCAGTTGGTGATGTGTGGGCGTGCTAGTGGGTGCGTGGTAAGACGTGTCAGACGAATGTATATAAAGAAACCTGTCAGACGTGTATATAAAGAGACGTGTCAGAGTGCTAACCTAAGGCTAAGGTACATGTATAATACTAATAGTCAGTTTTAAAACAGTGTACGCACGTGCAGGATAACCAGAGAGCTTGGAAGCTCAGGGCCCTACGCTATGCTTTTTTGCCTAGCTCATCATGCATACTTAGAAGTAACTAGTTGCGACTTCGGCGGTAATACTAGTCATGACCTCGTTGGAGCAATCAACTAACTTCATCATGCATGTTTAAATATCAGAACTGCCCTTCATATTCGGATTTTCTGGCCTTTTTGCAGTAATACATGTACATTGACCTGCTGAGCCAACGAGATGAAATTATATTCCATACAATACGATACAATACAATGATACAATAGTGTCCTTGTCTTGAAAGTGTGTACATGTGCTTACCTGTTGCTGACGGCCGAATGCGTGGTTGGTTGTGGAGCACACTACATAACTTTACTGTCCCCTATAATACGCATCCTGTCCTACGACAAAAGAGGCTGTGGATTTAGATTTTCTGATTTAGTTTTTCTGCACGTTATATCAGCAATGACTACTGATCTTCAGCAACTTGGGTCTCTTATAATACGCATCCTGTCTATGCTTCTGTAATGCTAACATAATGCTCGGGATAGCACTCGCTACCGATCTTCAGAAACTTGGCCTGGCTCTCGCTCACAATATTCGTGTCAATAAGACTGTTGTAATGTTCATCGTTCCCAAGCAGTCGCTGGTTTCTCCCACAATTTCATCGTACTGCTGTACGACATGCTATAATGACATCCTTATACCGTACAACACCGTATTGATGTATTCGAAGATACGGTACGGGACAGGTACGGGATAGCGCCAGGCATGCGATGGCACAAACAAACAAACAAACGCGGAATTAAAGCTGTGTGGACCCTGGCTATAGCGTTGATTGTCGCAATAAAACGTGTTGTGTTTGTTAAAAAAACCCTGTACTACACCAGTTTGACATAGGTACATGTAGGTCACATGGAAGCCTAGATGAACTAGGGAGTCGTAAAATACCGGTATTTTACGACTCTCTGAGATGAACGTTATTTGACCATATTCATATTGCTAGGTGACATGATAACACTTCTCATAGTACATTTCCTTTCTATGAGTCAGAGTGTCGGCAAGTCTCGGGATTGTGCAACCCCACAGCACTTGTTCAAGCTGCACTACATTTCCGGTCCAGCCCAGCAACCCCCCCCCCCCCCCCCCGGGACAAGTCCTGACATCCTACACCGATCCTTCCCGTTCGGCCTACTAACAACATGGAATGCTCTACCCTCTGCCATCCTGAACGCTTCCCCATCCAAGGCAGCGCTGCAACGCTTCAAAGTAGCAGTGTACAAGTACCTCCTCAAGCAATCTTGTGGGACTGCTGTCGACGTGTACACCACAGAGTAGCATACTACCTGATGGCCTAACTCTTTCTTCTTTCTTTCCCCCCCCCCGCTGGTGCGCGTTGTGTGCAAGGATACCGAGACCTCTGGTCGGAGGAGTCCACAACGCCCCACCTACACAGCTGCGCTAGGGAATACTAGTAGTCAGTCCCGACTGAATAGTTGTTTGTTCTGTCAACCCACAACTTCTGTGTTCTAGTCGTTTCTTCGTTCTTCCTACATGCAACTTTGTTATCTTTCTTGTTCTTATTTTTGTCTCGAGCCGGGTTTGTGTTCTTTGTACAATATACATGTACATGACCGTGGTCTTTTTTTAATTTACACCTCTTTTTTTCCTTTTTTTTACCCTCTGTCTCTGTCTCTTTGTAGCACTTGACTGTGTTTCGGTTGACGTCATTCCTTAGTGCTATTGACTGGCTTCTCACACAATACCAGTCAGGGAGATGTCCTATCTAGGACATCGCACTCTGAATGAGTCTGATTGGTTACCTGTCCCAGAGTTGTCATGGAAGCGTCGGTCGGATCGTAATGGCGATGGATTTCTTTCCGAATTGGTCAAGTTTGAGGGAAAAGGCGGAGAATATCAGACATCGGCGGGGATTGAGGTAGTGTATATTCGATTCTCCATCGAATACCCGACCGAATGGCCGTTTTCGTTTGGGGATTTCATGTGGGGTTTCTCGTAGCCACGCGGCGCTTCTTTGGAAACGATTGGTTCTAATTTTGAATATTTTGCCTTTGGAATGTTTCTTCACCATGTTCACCAGTCCTGGTGATGTCCTAGATAGGACATCACGGAACCCAGCATGCCCCAGCATACATACTATGCTGTTCCCATAGTAATCGTGACACGTGACTCGCGTCCGAGGAAGATGAACATGTCGCACTCAAAACAAACGCAACGAAGGCCTTTCGTCTCAAAAGTAATTATTATAGTTGTCGTTCTCCTGGCGGCTTGCCTCAAGCGGGTCGAGATTCGTATCTTGCCTCTTACCTTCACGAATTTTATTTTCCTCGTTGTGGAGTACGCCTGGACAAAGGAACTGGCAAGCGAATCGTTTTGGTCGCATTGAAAATTGCAAGTGCACAAGAGGATTGGCGAAGCAATTTGTGTTCGCACTTTCAGCAGAGCAGTAGCTGCTGCTGCGATAAAGTTTTTACTTTCGCCATTGGCTTCAGGCAGCAGAAGGATCTGGCTGAAAGCGATGGCGATACGTCCATGACCACCACGTCCTGGGTTGATATCCAAGAAAGACCGTCCAAGGTCCAGTTTTAGCCAAGAGCTGTCGTATCCAAGAAATCAAAAACGCCAACAGCAAGCTTTGGCCAAATAATATCCTCCAGGCAGTAATTTACGGGCCTAGCGCCTGCTGGCTCGTCTTCCTCCTCTGCATGGCCAGGTTTGGGGCGAAATGAACGCACGGGGCGTGAACCATTGCAATACCCCCTTAGGTCTTGTGACGTACAGTCCAGCCTTCCCAAACTGCTCCTATTAGAGAGGTTGCGCACAACGAAAATAATTCGTAGCGCCGTAACGAATATTTTTACCGAAAAAAGCTAACGAATATTCGTCAACCGTGAGGTTGCGCACAACGCGTGAACGTTTTCGTAGTGGGTCGACGCGGCGGCCGCGCGGGTACGAAGAGTCAAGACAAGGAGTTGTAAAATATCAATATTTTAGTACTCCAGGTGACGAAAAATATTTTCGTAGATCTGCTCTGTTTCGGTCACGTTTGGACGGATCTTCGGAGCAACTTTCGTTACTCGAACCCGGACGGTCGAAATCTAACGAATTTTCGTTGTGCGCAACCTCTCTATTGATTGCCATGTATATATACACTAGCAGCACCCGCGGCCAGCGTTGCCTGGCCGAATGTGGCATGCGGGCCGCGGGTGAAGCAAGTACATGAACAGCACACGTGCTCAGCACGTGGTGGTGGCCTGACCGCTGAAGTCCTGGTGCGGGAGGTTCTTCATCGTTGGAAGGAGAAGGAGGGACGTCTGTTACGCCTTCGGGAGGCTGGTCAGGGTTGTCCATCACCTGGTACATGGTGGCGGATGAAGCGGCTCAAAAAATTCATAAACTTACGAACAAAAGTGCGATGCGCTCTTCACTGCAGATCAGATGCAGAGTGCAGTCAGTGCAGATCTTTTGTATCCTTTTGTTGCAGATGTTTCTATTTGCAGAGAACGGACCGCAGCGCTTGTGCGGCTGCTAGTGCTACCTATGCCATAGCTATGGCCTAGGCTAGGTACAGGTGGCTACATGATTCGCACGCTTCGCGTGCTCAGTGCTTCTGCGCGCGGCTGCTACTGCTACTCGTATACGCGTACTGATCGTGTCTGCTACCTACACTGTTCGCACGCTTCGCGTGCATGCTCAGCACGTGGTGGTGGCCACACGATTCGCACGCTTCGCGTGCTCAGTGCTTCTGTGGCTGCTTCCGCTAGCTACACGATTCGCACGCTTCGCGTGCTCAGTGCTTCTGCGGCCGCTAGCTACACTGTTCGCACGCTTCGCGTGCTCAGGGCAGCGCTGCTCCGCAGGATGGCCTGAGCGTGACACACAGACACACGTCACAGGTGCCTCTTCTTTATAAGTAAAGATGTAGGGATCCGGCGGCTCTCGATCCAGCTTCTTCCACCTCTGTCTGTTTGTCTGTCTGTCTGTCTATCTGTCTGTCTATCTGTCTGTCTGTCTGTCTGTCTGTCTGTCTGTCTGTCTCTCTGTCTGTCTCTCCCTCCCTCTCATTATTATGTGCATGGTGAACCTAGGTTGGAATTTCTGGGGGGTGCAGGTGCCCCCTCCCCCACCCTCCACCCCTCTCCGTTCCCCATCCGTGCTATGCGGATGGACCTGCTGCATGGCATGCTTCCTTCCAAGGCTTCGTACAGCTTGATGCGTGCAGTGATGATTAACAATTGGGGGTATCTTTTGCTGTGAATGTGCGCTGATTTCAAATGCACAGTCAGTGCTATCAATCATGGTCTTGCAGTTGAGTTATTTGAAGTTGTGGTGGAGGGGTGGGGGTACTTTACCCCAGTCATGCATAATTAGAGCGAGTCTTTGAATGGCAAAATCCAGCCAATTAGTCCTCCTTCAAACACAACCACACACCTCATGATGATAATAATAATAATAATAATAATAATAATAACATGCAACACCTTAGACCTATTATTATTTTTCTGTTTCCGTTTTAATGACAGTCCATTGCATGCCTGAAAAAAAGTACTTAGTTTATTAGGCGGGTTACAGAACTATCGTTCGCCGGCTTACTTGTACATGTAGTTTGATAACGCTTCGCTCTTCATTGAGATATCTACCATTCTCTCTTTTTTTCCTCCTTATTTTCTCCACAACCCTCCTTCCCTATGTCATAATAACATACTCGCTGCCTTGTCATTGAGCATTTGTGCTCGTTTGGATTTGCGAATTCAAATACAGTATACAAACAAACAAACCAAGAATTACGTGTACCAGTACATGTATGTGGTGTTGGTAGCGGTAGCGGTAGCGGTGCTCCAACAGTCAAGCAGTAACAACTCGAAAGCCCCCGAATGAAACGCGAAATAATGTTCATTCATTTGAAGCATAAACTAAAGGAGACGATCACGGATGACGCCTTTGTTCTTAGCACCTACCCTACGCTTTCCTGGGGCCGTACACGACGGTTGGACGCCATCCGAGGTGTTCGTCTTCCTCTTCTCCTGGCTGGTGCCTGTGGTAACCTCTGGCGCTGCTGATGCTGCTGCTGCCCCCGTTGTCTCGCCTCGCTGCATAAGCTCCGTCGGGATTACGACGCAGACTTAGCCTGATCGATGCTCAACTCGCTGAGGAATCGATCGCCACCCGGTACACATCGGCTAATGCGTGAGCATCCGCCCAGTCATTCTCATCGGCGACCAAGGCTACAAAGTACAATGCAGTATTACATAATCATTATGTCGTGCAATGCTATAACTTTAAAAGCACAACCACTCGCCCCAATAGTCGCCAGTACTATGTGCCTGAGGTACATACATGTAATCCACGCTAGCGTGTATTGCCACCCTTGCGGCGCGTAGCTTTTTCTTTTTCAGTCTCGCCGGGGTGACAAATGAAAGAAAAAATCACCCATCGAGATTGGACCGAATCTTCTACAAGCATGCACTCTCCTCGGAGTCTGTAGAAAACGTCCTGAAGATCGCTGCACCGCGACAGCCACGCATTGCACGCGCGCAGCAAGCCGACGAGTTACGCGCTTACATGTTAACAATGCATGGTAGATCTACATTTGCTGATTCCACATCATCTTCACCTGACCTGCCAATGACAAGTCCTTAGGCATGCATTGTGACAGCTCATATCAAAGTACCCATGCTTTTGTTCATACCATGCACAGTTACGATTATTGACAACCTGCCAGTGCCACACACTGACAGAATCTGATATGGCTGGTCGTGGCGGTGTGGCAGTTTGCCTGGCAAACCGTTCTATGTTATAAGTAAAAAGTAAAAAGGACCAAGGACCTACCAATTACACTATAATGTCCACTGACACCACCAGTTTATTTATTTATTTATTTATTTATTTATTCAACATCTCCTGGCCCGTCCGAAGACTGCCAATAAACATGAGAGGTCAGGTGATAGCCAACCACGGCAAGCAGTTACTAAACAATCAGCTCATGCGATAACATTGCACGACACTGACCGACGGTACTGACGTTCTACAACTAACTGGCTAACAGCTCTAGCACGTCAATGATGCGCACTCCAACAGCCTTTCAACTTGGAAGGTTCTAAGTTATAGAAATAATATAAGGAGGGAAAGGTGAGCGCAACCAAGATAAGCACGAGCTGAAAGTATCAGCTGTGAAGGACGTTGGCGGATATTCATGCAAGTCGATGACGATGCTGGTATCGTCATCGACATGCATGAACATCCGCCAACGTCCTTCAATTCACAGCGGAGACTTTCAGCTCGTGCTTATCTTGGTTGCGCTCACCTTCCCCTCCTTATATTATTTCTATAACTTAGAACCTTCCAAGTTGGAAGGCTGTTGGAGTGCGCATCATTGACGTGCTAGAGCTGTTAGCCAGTTACAGTTAGTTGTAGAACGTCAGTACTGTCGGTCAGTGTCGTGCAATGTTATAACGAGAGAGCTTGGAAGCTCAGGGCTAGGGTCCAGCGGATAATGCTCCGAAAATGTTCGTATAATGCTAACCATAATGCTCCAAAAACTGCCTTATAATGCTGATTATAATGCTTCAGCAAGGGATATAATGCTCTTGGTTTGGGACAAAAATGGAAGAAAGTCTGCACATTGTCAAACTTCCAGGAAATTATGCATATCATCGATCTGCATCTGAAGTTTCCACCTTATCTCTCACGAGCTCCACTACTTCTTAGCACTATAAGACATGATCGCTTTTCCATTGATTGCTCTCCATTCCAACTTTGATGCAGGTTTGTGGCAGAATAATCGGTGTATCAAATCCCTCTCCTAATTATTCATGTAGTGAGAGATGAAACCATTATTGCAGGTAGTCATTCATTGTTGGGATGAAGTTAACCTTGGCAAATAGTATTCCTGCCTGCAGACAAGCTGTCACTGCGTCCACTCTGTGAATGATATCTTCATCTGAAACACCAGACGTGAGGCCAGCAGGGGCGTACACCGCTCGCCTCTAGGAGTGGTTCCCATGCAAACTGATCAGCCAACATAATTCCACACGGCTAGTGCTCTTATACGTATCCGATGGAGTTTCTGCATAAACTGCTGGATAATGTCACTGCTACGCATATTTGATTCAAAAAGACTGAACTTTGCCAAGGCATTTTTTATGGATGTTTTGTTCAGCAGGACGATTTCATGTTATGCCGTGAAACGAGTCGCTGAAGCACATCCACACGCTCAGTCTTGAGTCGGGTTATATTCTCGGGAGGACTGCGGTAAAGCTGCCCAAACTTTGAATCACCTGGAGCAAACATTACACAGGGCAAGCAGAAGCCACCATGGAACGCCGGTCAAAAGACTACCCAGGGAAACTCCTCCAACCAGGATAGTTGAAAGCGGCGCTGTTTGCCACCCGTCTGGACACGCACAGGAAACGAAATCCTTCGCCTTCAGTGCAGCTAGTGGCGCACAATGATTGTCAATGACGGAAATCTTTTCCATGTATGGCAAATTTCGGAGTCAATCAGGGATTCCACCGTGGAGGTACACTTTCAGAATATCCTTTCCAACACACTCCAATGTCACTGAAGTAAGTCTTGGATGATCCAGCAGCTTCCAACAACGGTCGCTCTACAGCTTCGCCGACGATTCCGTCCTCTGTGCTGCTCGTTGCAGACTCCACTTGGAAGTCAGGTGCGTCCGCAATCTCATCTATCGCTTGACCTTCGTCACTGGCTACACGCTTTGCCTCCTGCTCAAAATAGCTCTGAATAGAGCGCTGGCCCTCTGGATGTCGACTCTTCATTTTTCTTTTCCACAAAGCGAAAGCGTCGTCAAAAACGTAACCAACTTTGTCGAAACAAACTGCAAAGGAAATGACTCTGAGATCGAGGAATCGCTGTAACTTGTATGTAGAGACTTCGTTGCACCCAGTAAGTAATAGTTAGTTCAGTAGATCTACGCTGTGTCACAAAAATGCCTCAGCAGCACTTTTAGTTTTACACCTTGCCTTGTCACCGTCCTCGGACGGTCAGGCGGACTGCAGGCGACTACGCCGCCTAGGCATGCATGCACTGTATGCACGCTGGGCCTTGATCAAAACATTCTCCGTAGATCTACCCACATCGAAATTATTTTACTGGTTCCCGGGCATCCCGGGAACCGCCCTATGTACGCCCCTGGCCAGCTCCCGAGATCCGAACTCAGATGGAGAGCCCTCCCATTTGCGGAAATCCTGAAAACACGTGGTCAGAAGTTATTTTGCCACTCCACATCCTTTGCTTGTGCTCTCATCTTCTCCTTGAGATGGTGTGTAGACGTATGGCTCACCACAATACTCTTCCTTTCTGATAGCATTTGACTGTAGGCCTGGCATTACAACCGTCCACAACTAACTTTACGTGCTTCACCAGGAAAGTAGGACAGGCGCTGCTGAGCAATCGACTTGGTACTGAGTCCATGAGAAATTCTAGTTCTTTTCGAGCCTCCTGAGCTGGAGCTGGACTCAGCAAAGGCAGCTCTTTTGGAACGAGCTCTTTCTGTTTATAGCCGCTCCTCCATCCTGGTCCAAATTTAGCATTGCATCAGTGTCTACTTCAGTATCGCTAGAGATGCTATCGCCAGAGCCTCTGGCACAACTAGAAAACTCTTCTTCGTCTGTTTGATATTCACTTCGCGTATGTCTCCTCCATAGCTCTCCATTATTCTAAAAGTACTTCACTACTTGTAAAAGAAACCTCGTAAATAATTTCTCCGGATTTGTGTCACTTGAACTGTCTCGGCCTCGGTTGGGCATGCTTCACAAATGGCTTGTATACATTTACCTGACCACATCGCTACAATCATAACGTTTTTATGTAGCAATAGTTATGTAGCGTTTAATAGTGCTAAAGGTGTTATGTGTCTACACAATCACAAAGTCATGCGCCGGTACAATGCATAGTGCTCAAATGCCCGGAATGGGCAGATCGTAGTACGCAAGAGGTACACAAAAGGAGTAAAATAGGGGTGTTTCGTTGTTATTATTATTATTATTAGGGGTGAAACGGTTACCCTTTAAGGTAACAGACGGGTATCTGGCTTAACGGGCGGGTTATCGGGTACCCTTTATCCGCCATACTTTTTCCAAAAACATTGCATTTGCTTGGGATTGTATGCGCAACATGTCTTTTACAGGCATTCTCATAGGAGAGAGGTTTTCGGGCAACAATTTAGCTACAGTAGCCTTCCGGATTTCACGCCAGGAGGATATGCGAAGTCATGCAAGTACACTACACCGCGACAAGCACAGCGTGCACAATCACTGCGCTACATGCAAACAGTCAAAATAGTCGTAGCTACAATGGATACCGTGACATGTAGCAGGATTGAACGAGGAAAAACACACTCAAAACTGTGCACTGAACTGTACAAGCAAGCTTATAATACTGTACCCTACAATCCTGCACGACTAACGGGTACTCGTTTGCTCACGGATCAGCAGCTAAACAGACGGGTACCCGGGTTACCCGGATCACCCCTTTCACCCCTAATTATTATTATTATTATAGACAACACCTCATGGCATGAGAAGAAAATCAGCCAGTACGGGAGATGTGGGTGTTAACCAACCATGGTGAATAAAAGATGAAAAGAAGAAAAGTATTACTCAGAGTTTCATGGCAAAAACCAATCATCAGACATCTCATGATCATTATTGTAGCCGATTGTTGCCAAAACCTGGGATTTCCCGATATTATCCACTATGAAACTCGTTATGCCGCTCAAACCTCACATAATGCTCGTTTTGTTCCTTTCTAATGCTCCATAATGCTCTGATGCTCGAATAGTCGTATAATGCCGAATATAATGCCGGCATTATCCGCTGGACCCTACTCAGGGCCCTACGCTATGCTTTGTTGCCTAGCTCATCGTGCATGTTGTTAGAACTGATGGAAATGTTTTTTCCTTTGATTAGCTACATCATTGTATTGCAAAAACGTTTCAATGAGTTACTGAAGTAACGTCTTCTGCATGGCTACGGGACCGGCGCTGACTCTGCCGATCACGGGCGTTCTGGAGTCGACGGGATATCTGTCCTGACGTTTCCTGGGACCGGCGCTGACTCTGCCGATCACGGGCGTTCTGGAGTCGACGGGATGTCTGTCCTGACGTTTCCTGGGACCGGCGCTGACTGCCGATCACGGGCGTTCTGGAGTCGACGGGATCTCTCTTCCGACGTTTCCTGTGAGCGG